GTTTGCCCAGGGTCCTGCTGGATCCGCCGATGCTAATTTCGTATCAGCCCCTTCGTGTCATTTGACTCCATCAACCTGAACGGATCTCGCTTGCTCAATATCGAAGGATTTGACGACTTCAAGACCGATTTTGAGAAGAAGAAGGTGCCGCAATGGGTGTTCATGTCTCCCAACCAAATGAACGATGGCCACAATACGTCTTTAGAGTATGCGACAAAGTGGGCACATGATTTCTTGAAGCCAATGTTAGTCCCAGGCGCCTTCAAAGAGCGGACGCTCATTCAACTCACCTATGACGAGTCTGAAGATCACGGAAAACCAAACAAGATCGCGTCACTACTCTTGGGCAGCGCACTCCCCGAAGATAGGAGAGGGACAGAGGACAAGACCTTCTATACACACTACTCAATGTTGTCGACAGTTCAGTTCAACTGGGAGACGCCAAATCTAGGCCGGTACGACGTCGGAGCCAACATCTTCCAGTTCGTGCAAGACCTCGGTAGCAGAGTGCTTGTACCGAACAAAGATCCGCCCAATATGGCCTCCGTGAACAACTCGGAATCATACTTCGGACCGCTTAATGGGGACGCGAGCAAGTTCCGCCCCTATCCACCCCCGAATCTTTCTCTCAACGGGTCCAGTGGACTCCCAATTTTGGAACATACTCGTCTACAATGGGTCTTCCACAACCAACCGACCCCATATGACGGGAACGGTACTCTTTACGACGCCAATTTTCAACCCCAGTACATCCCGCAAGCCGTCCAATAGCGTTGGCCGGATGCCAGGCCGAAGTTCACCCCACGGGCTCGCATAAAGAATCGTCCAAGTAACGACCGCAATATCATATGGGAAGCTCGAAAGGTTGAGACGTCTTACCTGATTCGAAGGAATTGAAGTCTGGCATCTACAACTCCCACGGGCGCTACCGACTAGATCAAGGTCGCGTGAAAACTACCTTTCGACCCACGTTGATGCAACTCGGTATTGCGACTACAAACACTCGATGTGTCCTGCAATATGAGCTACTGGACGATCTGATAATGACTGACGTTCCCGGCTCGGCATGGGAATTGCAAGACGATCTCCCGAGGTCCGATAAAGAATCTTTGCGCGGGATACCCCAGACGGACAGCGGACGGCTATCTTAGAGCAAGCCACAGGATGGTAGTTAAGCATAAAGTGTGGGAGCCGACACCGATGAAATCAATGAAATCGATGTCTGGGATGGACTTGACGCAAGTGGTACTCTCCAGAGATGCCGAGCTGAAGCAGCCAGCGCTCTAGTGTCCCAGGCCGATGATGATGGGGAAAAGATTTCGATTGTCGATAAATCAGAGTTTGGACATGGCCGTCCGGTTGCGCCACGGCTTTCGGAGGCTGGTTGGCCGACGGCAAGCTTGAGACATCCTTCAGGCTTGGGAATGGGAATGCTGGCACCTCGACAGCCTCCGCCACAGTCCTGCTTTTCGGCGATCCCATATTGCCCACATTATACCATTTTGCCCATGTTACACAGCCAGGGTGTCGCCAACGGCGTCGTGGTCTGCGCCTCGATTTGACCAGCAAGCTTCGTCGCCGAGACGAAAGGATGGCGGGCGTACGTAGTCGCAATCAACCTATACAATCTTACTATCGATCTGGATCGATCTGGCTTGTCGCCCTGCCTGAAGCGCGGGAAGAAGGCAATTCGTTTTAGTCTCAGATGTCAGCTCGAAATATTCGTCAGTGAACAGGGTCAACTAACCAGCCTCCGGAAGATGCGGAACGTCCGGCGAAAAGGGGATCTTGATCTTACCGTCCGTCTCAAGATACACTAAGAGCTGGTCAATCCGCAGCAATTTCGGCCGACGGGAGATGCACACTACCCGCAGCATTACCCGTCTCACGAGTCGTCTTTAACCTTGAGACGATAGATGGACACATGGTCCTAGAGCAACGAGAAGCGGGACCTGATTCGACATTGAAGCAGGACCAGAGCGGACGGACTCGCAAGAGGTGAGTCAACGGGAAAGGCTCTCATGTCTGAATATGACTCGAGACTATGTGAAGCCAAAAGCAAGTACCCTGATTTAGATAGATTTCTCTTCTAGGAGCTGTTTCTGAATCGTGATAGTTCTTCAGACGCAGGCCGAGCTCGAGACTACCATCGTGAGCTACCTCCGTTGACGTGCTGATCTATTGTGCCTACTTTCTTAACCCCAAAACTGATTCAATCTGCCAAATTGCGCCGACTCGCCGGCCAATGCCAACAAAGTTCCACGCCAGCCACTCGCTGAGCCATCAATGTTGCGACTTGCAGAGCATAATATCATCTTAGTGTCTCCGGCTGCGAGCCGTCGTCGCGCTTGCGTACTAGCGCCAGGAGATGGAGGGAGCGGCGCCTCACTAACAACACGAGGGAATCTAGTCCCTGATCCATCTCATGGAATGTTCATGGAATGAATGTGCCAGTTTTTTTACGCACGAAAATACTTTCCCTCTGTGCCTCCATAGTCTTGAATGCCGATTCTCGCGCCCGGTGGCTGCCATTGAGCCACCACCAGATACGTCCGGATCCCCCGCTCTGGAAGCATTCTTCGACGTCACCACTGGAAACCCTCAAGGTTGCAGTCCAGATTGCAACCGTATGCTACGACAAGTGCCGGGCCTGTAGATTCCTCCCTCCCCCCCCCCCCCCCCTCCGCGCGACTGATGAGACTGGCGGTGCCAGCTTTCTTCCTACCCCGTGGGCGGAGAAACATGCATGTAGCTGCGGGGTGTGTGTGGATGGCGGCATAACTCTGGAGGAGACATTTATTTCCTCCCCTCACCAAGAGACAATTGACGATCCCAGTCGGCACAACCGAAGCCCAAAAAGAAGCGTTACCCTCAATGGCATACTGCTATCTGACACGCTTACGGGCACTTTTGGCACGTTGGAAGCCGTCTCTGTACCACTGTTTCGTATCCAGCTTGCCATCGTGTAACGAAAGCCTCCCGTTGGATTCAAGAGAGGAAACCAATTACCCAATACGCCAACCATTGGCGGGTACCGCTTGAACATCCCGAAAACTGCGCGATGCTCGATCAGATGTCATTGCCGTGTCCACTTTTGCGCTAGCAATTTCGCCTGGCGTTGTGCTGGCCTCTGGTTCTTCTGTGCTAGACGCATCTGAAAGTCTGAGAATGGTCCGCCGATGCCAGTCTGTCTGGCTTGGCCCTGGGATCTCCTTTGGCCGAGAGACACTTGTGTCCCTGCATGGATCGACGCTGCATTTCAATTACATACACGATCCCGAAGCACGGACCCAACACTTCAAGGCTTCTCAAGTGCCGCTATTGTTGTTCTTCCTTTGTTCCTTGGGGGTGGACGGGATGCATACCTAGCACAAAGAAGAGCATGGAGCTTTCCGCAGGTAAGATTTGGGGAATCGCGTTTCTCCTCTCCTTGGCTCATGGAGTTGTCCGTGTTGCGCTCAACTCTTTTTTTTTTTTTTCTCTCCCGCAAATCCGATGAAACTAAGCAAGTCTGCCGTGCGCAAAAGGCAGACATGAATCAGTCCAGCCACAGAGCACAATGACCTGGCCTCTCACCCTCTCTCTCCGGGTCGGCGGGCATTGTGGCTTTCTGAAGTGTTTCTCAAAGAGAGGAGGGGAGTAGGGAATCTTATCCCACCGGTTGATTTTTCCATCTTTGTGGCAGAGTTCCTGTTCCTGCTCCTGCTCCTGCTCCTGCTCCTTCGCGGCATGACGATAATGGGCGATGGATTAGAATGCAGGAGTCTAGGAGAACCATTATCCTAACCTCCGGTGCTACGGGATATGCACGTAACCGTCGCACCTAGGACAACCTCACGCAAGTCACCAAGACGCATGGACGTAGGATCCACTGCCACGAGGTTCACTTGTCTGTCCCATCGATCCTTGGCCCCGCAGCCACAGACTGGGTCGTTTGGCCAGTCACACTCGCGCAATTAGGTATCACGGACTTGCTGCTGAGAGTTCGACGGGAAGAGACCCCTGATCCATGACACAGCGGCATCCACTTCCAGTTGCTCGATGCGCATGTTAAGGCCTCATCTGGGTAAGGGTGATGAGGGTTTCGCAGACCGGGTTGTTGGTGAACGACACCGCAAACCCAAGTAAACTAGGTAGCTTCTTGGTGTTTGACTCTCGAGCCCGTTACCCGTACACTCCTCCCCGGCCGGACCGTCTTGGTATACCTTCGAGAGCTTACTCACTAGGAGTTGATAGCCATTGAGCTAACCAACGCACTAAGACCGGATGTGCCCAACCTACCTTAGAGTTTGCCCTTGTCATTGGCTTTTCCCGTATGGTTCCCCTGAAGAAGTGGTGCCTGCTCGGACGGCAGCCCACCACACTTGTCTTATATCGCAGATGCCCTTCCCACGTAGGCCGCCCTCCCCGATCAATCCTGGATGACATGACACACGTCTGTGGTTGTCCGTCAAAAACATTAGAGGCAGATTCTCTTCCTGGTCACGACGGGCCTTTCACTGCTCCTTTCCGTCTTTTCTTTCCTTTCCTTTCCTTGCCATTCATCCCCACAGAAGTCTTCACCATTGGCATCGTTCGCCATGAGGCAATCGTTACTGCTCGGCATCGCGGTCGCCTTCTTTGGTGCTGTTCAAGGTTCCCTACTGGAGTTTGCAGCCATGCTGCCTCAGTGTGGGGTGGGTTTTCCCTTTCCATCAACTCAGATCGACGACATCCGACTGACATCATTCCCATCATCTAGCTGGAATGTACACTCGAAAAGCTACCACTCTCGGCTTGTAAGGTTGCGACAAACGATACTTGCATATGCAGTGATCATGACCTGCGGATGAGCGTGCAAACATGTCTTCTGCAGCGGTGCAAGAAGCTGGAAGCCATAGGTAAGGCTTTTCTATCAACAGATCATGAGATGCAGAGGACGAACTAACAGTGACACAGACGTTGCAAGGATAGAAGCTGAAGCATGCAAACGTCCGGTCCGCAAGCGAAAGGTGGACATCATGGTGCCACTCATCCTTCAGATTACCGGGGTCCTGGTGGTTCCTTTACGGCTATACGCGAGATGGACGACGATGCATCGATTCGAGGCCGACGACTGGATCATGATGTTCTGCGGCGTATGTTGGATCTTCGATGGACCTTGACAGCTCATTTTCTAACGAACTATAGGCTATGTTTGTCGTCTTTGTCGTCGTTGGACAACTTGGTAAGTCTAGCATCCGGTGAACCTCATGGTCCTTACTAACAGCCACACAGCCGGTCACGTTGCCTTTGGAGAAGACATCTGGATGGTCGACCCAGATGAACTTACGTTAGGACTAAAGGTTAGGCGAATCGGCTCTCACGAATGATTTATCAGATGCTGACCGTGACAGCTCTTCTTCATCGACGAAAGCATGTACCTCGCCTGCTTAGGTCTAACCAAGATCTCAGTACTTTTCTTCTATCTCAGAATATTCCCGAACAAGTCCTTCCGATGGGCAACGTACGCGACGATGACATACATCATAATATCGACCACAGTGGTTCTCCTCATGCAGATCTTCCAGTGCATCCCCTTTGAATTCAACTGGGTTGGTTGGAAAGGAGACTTTGGCCCACACCACTGCCTGGATATCAACGCACTAGCCTTTGTGGCTGGCGGGCTGAGTATCAGCCACGACCTCATCATTCTCGCCTTGCCTCTTCCGCTGCTGTGGCACCTCAACACTTCAAAACGCTCCAAGATAGGCATCTTGTTCATGTTCAGCCTCGGCATCTTCGTCCTCATCACCTCATGCATCCGGCTGCGCTACATCGTCTCATTCACGCAATCACTTAACCCCACGTGGGACTTCACGGACCCCCTCATCTGGTCTGGTCTCGAGGCGTCCGTGTCCATGATCGTCGTGTGCCTCCCCGCGCTCCGGATCTTGCTGAAGCGTGGCTGGCCCAAGATGTTCAGCACGATTGGCACCGCGGAGGTCCACTCGGCGCCGAAGAAGGCTTCTAACGCATCATCTCGGATGGCACAAGCCATCAAGGCGGCTGAAGACGGCGACGGCGACGGATACAACAATGTGATGAATGATGGAGACGAGGAGGTCGCCGACGCAAAGTACGCCGCGAGCGAAGTGAGGGCCGCGAGGAGGATGGCGGAGAAGCGGAGGAAGTTCTTCTCGTTCCGATCGACGACTGTGGAACCGAATGAGAGCGAGTTGGAGCTGGAGCTGGGCGACAAGGTGCGGGGCGAGGTCAGGACGCAGATCCGGTACAATGACGGGGAGTCGACGACGAGAAGGAGCTCTATTGAATCTGGGATTCATGTGAGGACGACGACAACCATCCACGACGCGAATGGGAAGACATTTTGAGTCGTCAGTTGGGACGCAGAATCACGCATACACGCACGAGCAGGTCTGGGAAGCTGAATTTTCGCATATCTTTCACTTTGGAAACTGCATCACTTAGGAAACTGATGATACCATTGCATCGCACGGCGTTGGATTTACTCAAGGGAGATTCTCTATAAGAATACATGTACGGATATAGTCAAAAAGTAATATCATGTTTAATTATTAGTATATCTCAATGCCTTCCCCGACGAGCAGATTTTGATCGATTGGGACAAGATCGATGTCTCAAGCAATAGAAAAAGGTGTATCGAGCGAGAACTAACTCGAGTCCGACGATTGGATGACGATCTACTTGCCAAGAAAGGCGTTCGTTTATCCAGGGTCTCCCATTTTTCACAGCTAGGGCTTGTTTCATCAATTCAACGGCTCCCAAGTCCGCGTGGGCCACTGCAAGGATTAATCTGGGGAGAGTACATGTACAAAACATAGCTCATAAAATAGCTGGCAATTTTCGTCTCAAAAATGGCCTGATTGTATCGAGCTTTCGGTAAGAGGGAATTGGATTGGTCGATAGGTAAGGGGATCATTCGGCTCCGAGTGAGCCTTTGCCCGCCCGACTCCCGTCGCTACGCTTGGTGGAGTGACTTGTAATTGGGAGAGGGAGAGAAGGCGGGGAGAAAGATGTAGGGAAGAAGTTTGTTTGCAGTTCCCGGTGAACAAGCTTGTTTTTTTTTCTTGCGTCTCATAAGGCGGGACATGTGAGACGCCGGAGGTATCTTGAAGGGCTCGGCTCGGAGGAACGTGGTGGTATTTGGATGGGTGGCCCGGTTAATCTTGTGAGACGGATAACGATGATCACGTAGTACTACCTAGAGTAACCGATGGTTCGTAGAGTAGCTGGATGATGGTTTTACTGCAATGTGACAAGTTTGGGGTTCCACTCGATGGGATGAGTGATTTCGAGTCTGCTTCATGGCCCAGTGGTGACTATGCCTTTCCATATTGGTGCACCTAGCTGGAGTGTTTTGCTAGATTTGACAACAGTATGTGATTTGAGAATAAAGAGGAAGGTTTACGTGAATATGGGATCCCTAATGTCATTGACACCGGAAAAGGAAGTAAGAGGGTGGCCTCCTCACCTCAGGCCGATGACACCTTCAGAATGGCCCCAACCACTGTGAAGTTTCTATCCTCAAATTGTCACTATCAAGTGTGACCAGGGTTGATTCACTTATATCATTGATGCAACGAGGTTATCGAATGATCTTTCTTATTCCTGGAAAGCACATCGTGGTTGGCATACAAGCGTCGACTGACTTCTCGTCGAGCACCTCCTTCACACACATTTATTTAAGAGTGTGACTCTTCAGGTGAGACCACTTAATATTCGTCTTTGATATAACCAGCCACCGGTCGAGATATTTTCAGGTATCATGAAGATGTTATCGAGATCATGCGAAGCTGCGGTCCCTTTTGATACTCCACTGACGCGCACAACAGAGCTCATAGAGTATGGACAAGATGGGTGTCGCCACAGATCGCTTGCGCGCTTCTCGGCAGATTTCACCAAGAATATTTTCGTGCTCAATCAAATTTCCCTGGAAAATAAAGATGAGTATGACCGTACCCAATCAAACGCATGGATGAAGGAAAATGAGGAGGAGTCATACCTTGTCAAAATCAACTTGCATGCTGGGTTTGATATTCTCATCGATGGGATTCATCTCTATAGCCTGTGTCATCGCGCTTGACGGGATATCTTGACCCGCAGACTCAGCTACTTTGATCACTTCTTCCATGGCCGGGATGACCAAAGAGCTCATCGAACCGTCCGCCGTCCGTAGCTGGCTGGCGTTCACCCTCGTCAAAGCACAGATGGGGTTGAACGAAGCATTGTAGACGAGCTTGCTCCATCGGTCGAAATCGACGTCTGGCTTATAGAGGCACGTTGTCTTATCTCCGGCGCTGTAAATTTCGATGAAGCGTCTGGCAGCGTGTTGCTGCTCTTCCAGGCCGATGTTGGCGTTGTGAAAAGCGCCGATATGGAGGAGATCGGGCTGCTTCTGCTCGATGATACCTGGCGAATGCTCGTGCGCGTCGATGCGGCTTACTCCAGAGAGCACAATGGTCTTAGGGAAGCGATTAAAGAAGGGGAGCTGGATATTTATGCCGTTTTGGATGAGTACGATGACCGTCCGGCCTGGGACGACGGCCGGAGCGATGATGTCTGGCAGGCTTGGACCGGCGTCTGGGACGTTTTTGGTGCAGCAAACGATGTAATCGAAAATACTATCAGAGTCTGAGGATACTGAAGTCGGGACGGCATTCAAGACTAAGGCAATCGTGACGATGATGAGCGACATGACGAGAAGGGAACGGGGTTACTGGAACTGACCTTCGGTAGGCCGCCAGCCTTCTTTGTCGCCGTGTTCGCAAGACTTGATAGTGAAGCCGTTGCTTTTCACAACGTCGAAGTTGGAACGGAGGACCGCGGTGACTTGAGCCAATCCTCCAGCTTCGAGGTTAAGAGCGGCGATCGTGCCGATTCCTCCACATCCGACAAGGAGCACGCGGGCTCTGTCTGATGTCATCCCGAAAGCTGTAGTCTTGCGTGGGCTTGTATTCTGTTCCACAGCTTCTCGAGAGAGTTCAATGGATAAACTGTTCTTTTGGACAACCACCGGGCAAAATCATCCCCGGCGGCAACGGCGTATTTGAATGGGGCAAGATCCCGGACCGGACCGGCTTTTGGCTGGCTGTTACCCCGCACCCCACTATCTAGACCCACAATCAGGCCCGGACCGGCTCTATGGCGTTCGGCGGCTTCGGATGCTTCATTTACAGATCACTTCTCTTGCGGCGACAGTACGATTTCAGCAAGACATATAGTCGTCTCTCACGTCTCGGGGTTTCACTTCGTACCAAATTTAGCGCCTTCGCCATCTTCAAGTCTGCGATGCGACATGCTATCGGCAGCACGTGTGTAGCGTTCAAGCACCTAGGATCTAGTCAGGCTAGGCTAACCAGCATGTTAAACACGAGTCACCGTTGTCATTCTGGTGCGAGTCTGGACCGTTGCCTCTCACCCTCAACTTGAGACAGTGATACCTTTCCGAGTAATGAAGCCGGTGAGGTGGCCCACAGATTCGGAACACAATGCTTTCTTGAGGTTCCGAGAGCGAGGCACAAAAACGGTGTTCGTGTCCGAGGGCTGGCCTGAAACCTGTGAATGTGTTCAGTTCATTCCAGCGCCTCTGTTGTCGGCCATCCCACGAGACCAGATAGTTTGACAGCTATCAGGGCGACCGCACCGCTTTCTTCTCTTTTTTTCGGTTCCAACCCATCGGTCCAACCTTGACGTTGCATTGGGTCATCGCTGCTCTTTCAGAAGAAGAAAATCCTGAAGTCCAAGTCCGTGGGGGACCATGCACATTTACAGCTGACACAAGACGGAGAAGTGAACACCGAACCGCATCTGCAGAGGGCAAGGATCGCACAGACCATTTACCGCAATTTTGTTGGTTCCTGGCCGTTGGTTTCAATGTTTCTTCTTCCAACTCAACGACCAACCTCACAGGCCCCTTTTCCTAACACCTACGGATATTTCCCCCCGAGTCTCCCGCACTCACCCCAATTCCCACGACCGGAGCCTTTTGATTTCGCCTTTTAAGCTTCGTTGCAAACCTAGCGGGCGGTCTAGAAACCAGGAACCCGCAAAGGAACAAACCTTGGCCCATCGCAGCAATACGAATAAGCGCATCTACTCATCGGAACTCTCTCTCACACCACACGCCAAGTCAGCCTCCCACTTACCGGTAGCCAATCAGGAAAAACGAAGCAATGGCACGCCAGGGCAACGTGAAAACGGCCTCTTCTGGCTCGGCCGCGGCGATGGGCTCGTCGGCCACAGATCCCTCGTCTGCACCCTCCCCGCGCGACCGTATCATGACGCACATGAACCGCGACCACCAGCGTGAGCTCTCCCTCTACCTGCGCCACTACGCCGGCCTCAGCCGCTCCGCCGCCTCGTCGCCGTGGCTCAAGGACTGCACTTTTGAAGGCATGACCATCGCAGCCGGCGGGCTCGGCGGCAAGGAGTTCTTCATCGAGTTCAAGCCGGCCCTCACGGCGTGGGAGGACGTGCGGCCCGCCGTCGTGGATATGGCGCGCGCGTCGCAGCAGGCGCTGGGGTACAGCGACATCACCGTCGGGCACTTTGCGCCGCCGCAAGGCTTTGACGTGGTTGTGTTTGGGGCCGTTGCGTTCTACTTTGTCTGCTGGCTTACGCTTGGGTTTGTGCTGCCCGGTACGCCGATCTGGTCCTTCCTCCAGACCGCGTTCCCCGGCGGCCCAAGGTTCTATCGGTGGTTGGTCAAGACCATCTTCCTGCCCGTGTTGGGAATCCATCTGAGCGAGTGCTATTGGTTCCACCGCACGAGGCTTCAGAGGCACGGTATCGAGTTTGGAACGGGCTTGTGGTGGACGTGGATCGGAAGTCTTTTCTTTGAGGGACTGCCTGGCTTCTGGAGGTTCGATGGCATTGTCGCGGCCAAGAGGCAGGAGAAGGAGAGCAAGAGCCACTGAGTTTCTTTTGGAAAAGTATATGGGACAGGCTTTTTTGAGGCAATGATAGATCCTCCGGATGCGATCAGGCGGCTTCATACAGCGCTCGACTCGCGAGATCATAAGAGAGGTCGACATAGCAAATCGGTATGGCCGCGAGCAGTGTTTCGCGACCCGGATCCTCCCCCTTCACAGTTGCGGCCAGGAATAGATCCACGAAGATTGGCAGGGTGAGCGGTGGAAGAAAGGATGTTCTATCTCAGAATCAGCTATCTCCTGAGTGTAATGTTAATTGATGAGAAAACCCGAAAGACCCTTGGCTACTGCGAAGTGAGAAATCATCGGAGAGGTATTCATTTCTGGACACAATAGATTCATTGTCAAGCTATCGCGTTTGCGCCAACATGGCGACTGTGAAGGTGTGAAGATGATTTGAAGTTGCTCGCTTTCTGATGAGATGGAAATTTTGAACGGCACAGATGTGAGAAATTAACGATGAATGCTCAAGAGTTGATCTCATGTTGAAAGTCATGATGAATGATGAGATCGGATAAGGCACGATGAGATTGAAGGGCCGAAATGAGAAGGACCACACCGACGAGTGAGCTGTTTGCTCTTTCCACACCATCTCATACTCGCTTAGCATGGTAGACCCACTCCGGCCGGCGCCAAGGTACCTGAGGTTGCCTTCCCCGCGATCCCATCGTGGACCTCCCTTCTGTCCGTTGTCCACATCTTCATCGCCGATATCCTGTCACCTTCAGCAGCACTACAGTCAACGGCGTTGAACAATGTCACCGTATATGCGGACACCATGTCGATCAACGCTAGCTGATGCCACGTCGTCCGTATCCTAGAATGCACGACTTGCCGTCCTCCAAGGGGATGGCAACGCCTCATTGAGCAGGGCACCTCGGAAAGTGTTGCCGCCCATCTGTCTTGTGATAGCCCCGCCAGGCACTTCTGCGAGACAAACAACGCCATCTCTGGGCGCTGAAGAAGTTCTCACCGATAATATCTCACTTTCCTAATCGGACGTTTGTTGCGAATTTTGATGGCGGCAGCGGCAAACCTATTCGCAAGATTAGCGACCTTCACCAATGCTACGCTTCCTAACCATCGGCTTGTTTGCCTCCAGCAACAAAGCTTCCCGAGATCTGGTTTCGCTCCCGAATAGCAAACAATGCCTGTAGGTTGTCCAATCGCAATTTGCACGTAGATATCTTGGCACTGCCCAATATCTTCTCCACGATCGCCTGCAGATCGCGGACCGGGGCCTCGGCCTACGAGATCGACATAGTCGAGCTTCCGCGGGCAGGGGTGTGGCATATGATGAACTCTTGACTATGTACTGTCACTGTCAACACCACCATCATCGGGAACCTGTGCACAAATATATCTCACCACTCCATTCAGTATCGGCAGTTGAGCAACTCCAAGCATTGTTCGGCCAAACATCGAGCGACATGGGTTTGCTGAGCAAAGCATCGCGCCGAAAGAGGGGGCCTGGAGCACCCAAGATCATCTTGCGCTCGGAAATACGCGTTTATAAAATATCAAAATCATCATCATCGGCGATCTAGAATGCACATTCCAGGAGATGAGAGAGAGGCACAGGACAAACCGCAAGATCCTGAGGAGCAAACAGGACAAAGGACTGCGATGACAGAAGATCATTCTCAGAGGTATACCACACAGCTGGCCAAGTGTTGCCACTCTGTACAGCACACCTCACAAACAGGATACTAACTTCAGTCTTCAGGTGTTCGTAAGGACAATACCTACCTCCCAGGCTTTGACCAGCTACGGGAACTGCCTCGCGTAAAGCATCCGAGCTTTGCAACCCATCGCGGGGAACCCCGATCTCAAATCACCCTAGCCGCACAACGATGAGGGGCAACCGGCGTTAGCCTCAGAAGCTCTCTATAGTTTACAGGCGGAACCTTGAGAGTTTGTCTTTGGCCGTTCCCTATCGCAGCCGAGGCGCGCCAATACTGCAACGTCGAGTCTGCTGCTCTTCTACCACCAGACGGTCTAGGCGTCATCAAATCTGGCAAACTCGTCTATCTGGATCATTTTGACTGCCCTTACGGACTGTTCTCTTGCTAGGAAATCAAGGCGCCAACAAGGCCTGCACCGTATCCGCGCTATTTCTTTCGCACCCATCAGACTCTGGAGACGAACGCGTGGCCATCATACGGGAGGTGCGGCAGTCTTGTGCAGCGGCACTATCAGTCTGGTCTCTCGGCGAAATCGATTCTCACTGGTTGTAAGCCATCTTATTTGTGCTTTACAGCCTTGTTGTGCCTTTCGTCTGTTCTCAAGTTGAACTCAATTCAGGACTACAATGCAGTAATACAACGCCTATACGATGTACGATTCCTAGATTTGAAGTAACGTACGTTATTCGATGCTCGGTTTCGGTACTCACGCTTGGTCCACGACCGCTTTCGCTCCTTGAGCGCGGGACGCTCCGTCTCTGGCTTTGCTGCGCCTTCACTCACTGCATTGACGTTGAGAAAGTCTAATGATATCGATGTTGGGCTAGCTTTTCCAACTACACAAACCGGCGTCGGCATGTTTGTCTTGCTGAATACGCCCAGCCCGGCAGCGGTTCACTCGAGGGAGATGTAGCATAGCACTAGTCCCCAAGGCAAGGTGATCATCTCCCGCTAGCTGCAGTATTGCGCCATCAGCAAACCTACTCTTCGCGACGAACCCTCTCTTTGGAATGGTATGAAAGTTGGTTGTACAGGCTATGAGGGAACAACCAATCGATACTGGCATCAATCAACTCGCGCTGCCAGCTCACTGACCCGTGTGAAGGCCCTAAAAGGTGGCATGGCAAGTCATGGCACTGCCGACCTGGCGACCCCGCTCCACTAGCTTTCGGTTACCTTGTGCTCGCTAGGTTCACCGTTGCTGAGGACCCTCCGTGCATACGATGGAGTTGTCTCACTGTTCCGCAGTCAGTCAGTCAGCCTTCAGGCAAGCTGGGCTTCTGAATGGGTTTCGATGTGCATATGCGGCTGTCAATGTGCATTTGATCGCTGCAGGTGTCTAGAAGAAAAACGAAAAATTTCTCCATTGTGGGCTTCAAGGTTGGATTTGGGAGTTGCTAAGAGAATTGAGAGGGGCAAGCAAGGCTCCCTAATTCGGATAGTGTTGCGAACTTACCCACAACCCGACTAACCCCGGCCGCCTCAATAGACTAGTCGACTTAATGTTACTGAGGCTCTATCGGAGGAATCCCACGAACTGGCCTGCCATCCGCACCTTTGCCCGGCCACGACGTCCGTATGGACAGGGTTCCCTGCAGCAAACAGGTGAGTGGTCGACGCGAGTCCCGCCCATTTTTCAGGACTCGTACTGGCAAGCGAGCTAGTTATCCAGGGTATCCTTCGTGGTAATGGGACGACTGAGGAGGGCATCGCGCATTCATGGGAGCGGTCCAAGGCAATCGGCGAGCTGGGGATCGTCCCCTCGGTAAGCAAGGTCCACAATGGCTTCAGCAAAGTTCGTTGACATAAAGACGAGGTCAAGGTCCCCTCCTGTTGCGAGCCCAGTAAGGCGGTCCTCTTAATAGCGCCTATCCGCAGCTTCAGACTCAGTCTTCTGGTTCTGCCACGCCCACCTCACTTCACCTCACCTCAGGTCCCTAGTCTATCGTTAGTTGAGCTCTCTCAACCTCAACATCACCATGAGAGCCCAAAGCATCATCAAAAATGTCCTGAGGGCCGTGGTCACCACCTCCAGTCTGGGTGTTGCCAAGCCGGTCCTCCCTCGCTGGACTGTTGGACAGTCGGTGTCGACTTCCAGCGGTCCCGTTGCAGGACATGTTGCTACTGGCGTCGAACAGGCAAGTTTGTATGCGTTGGAGATGAAGGAATTCGACTAACAATAATACGTCCTAGGTATCCGAATATTTGGGTATTCCGTACGCTCAGCCGCCGGTTGGGCCCTTGCGCTTCCAGCCTCCAGTCAAGTTTGCCGGTGCTTCTCCTATCAATGGCTCCGACTTCGTGAGTATCCCCAAAATTTTGTAAAAATTACTCCAGAGGCTCAAATGAGACGTCTTATCAACGGTGTACTGATGCACCTCAATAGGGACATCAATGCATGCAGCCGGCAAACGCTCCCACCAGTCTGGAAGCTGTCATGAAGCTCGGTATTCCCGCTTCGGCCGTTGAAGTGACCAAAGCGCTGGGTGACACGGGCTCTCAGAGCGAAGACTGCTTGACCTTGAATGTGTGGACCAAGCCACAGGCCGGCGACTCAAAAAAGGCTGTGATGGTCTGGGTTCACGGAGGTGCTTTCACCACAGGTATGAGTGCCTTCGTCTGAACAAATCAAGAAAGCATGCACGGTGTACTGACTCGGGTTGTAGGAAGTTCCCGCATTCCAGCGTACAACGGAAAGTTCATTGCAGACCAGAATGACGTGGTTGTCGTGTCCATGAAGTGAGTAGTCAACGGAGGCTCGGGGAATTAGGTAGCATCAATGCTAACTCGGGTCAACCTTGAAGCTACCGCCTCAACCTCTTCGGATTTCCAGGCAACCCGGTCACCGCCCCGAATCTTGGATTCCTCGACATTCGCCTGGCCATGGAATGGGTCCGCGATAATGTGGAGAAATTTGGCGGCGACGTCAACAGAATCACAATCTTTGGGCAATCTGCCGGGGGCTCCTTGGTCGACTACTACTCTTACGCATACGCGTCCGACCCCATCGCCAGCGGTTTCATCCCCATGAGTGGCACGGCTACTGGATTCGGTATCTTCACCAACCAGACTGTGAACGAGAAGTGGTTCAACGTCACGTCAGCGGTCGGCTGCGGTAACAACTTAACCGACCCCAAGGTGGTCTCTGACTGTATGCTCAGCAAACCCGCCACGGATCTCCTCACCGGTCTTTCCTCGAAAGATGCCGGTATCGCTTCCGCTGGAGGGCTCTCTTTTGCCCCCGTGGTAGACGATCGTCTTATTTTTGCCGACTACAGCATCCGCGACTCGGCCAAGGCAGGGTATCTCATCGGCAACACTGAAAACGAGGCTGGGCTCTTCAAGATCGGAGCCCCAGACCTTAATGAGACATACTGGTTTGGTTTTAACCTTATCGCTTTCAGCTGTCCCGCCGCCAGAAGAGCCGCGCGGGCCGTCTCCGCGGGCCATCCGACATGGCGATACCGTTATTTCGGCGACTTCCCTAATCTTGCTCTTACAACGACGCCGCCCAGTGGAGCATGGCACGCATCCGAGGTTCGTCATGCTTTCTTTTTCCGTCAATACTCTTGGCCCGAGACATATTAGCTGACATTGCTTGACCAGCTCCCTGTTCTCTTTGACACCGTGCCCCAGGCGGCAATTAACAGCACAGCGCAGGAGAATGCGGTGGGCAAGTACATGCGTGGTGCGTGGGCAGCCTTCGCAAAGGATCCAGTGTCTGGTCTTCTCAACTACAACTGCCACGGCACGTGGCCCAACTACCAGGCCGACGGTAACACTTTGAATCGCATTTCATTCCAGAACCAGACGGGTGCCGATCTGGCTCAAGGCGACTCTTACGACGGCTTCTGTGCGCAAGTAGGAATTCCCGTTGCTTGAGGACTCTGAATACGCCCTCGACAGGAGGCATGAAAAGAAATGAACTCATATGAAGCTACAACTTTCTACCGTTTATCAGATACAATTTTTAATATACCCAAAAGTATTTTCTTCTCTCACACATCGCCTCTAATCACTCTGTCTGAACTTTGCTGCTCATTCCATTGGCCTCGTAAAGCCGCTTTCGGATTCCTGAAGAATTCTCACTCTCATACGCAAAACATTTGGTCATGCAATGGTGGCCGTGAAACCATGAGAAGCTGCTGTTTACTCATCAAACTATAACCAGGCTCTCGTATATCTGGTCTGGTTTCAGATCCCTCGAGCGATCTTCACGATTCCGATGGCCAGTCGCCAAGAACGATATTTTCAATTCGGACCTGCAGGGCGCCCTGGGACATGACGAGTTAGTGGACCCCACTGGAAGTGAAGCGGGCCGGGGCGATGGTTAGGGGTAGCAGCCACTGAAGAGGTACGTACATGCCCTGATTCCTGAGGACAAAAGGCCCGAAAAGTTGGCTGTGCACGCTCCAAACTCTAATTGAACTTCTTGTACGACTCCCGTCCCGAACATCGTCTCTTTCTTCTCCGTCTCAACTCCACCCATCCTCTCTACAACCATTATCCCGGGTTTCCATCATCTCTGATTCCAAAACAACTCCTCAAGGCATTTGAAATCGTTTTAAAGGCAAAATACGAATACCGAACCGAAGCGCCGGAAAGTCTCCCCGTTATCGGCAGAACAGGCAACGAGCCCGTGTTCCTCGCTACCGGCTCCTCTGCTCAGCCTGCCTGAGTTGCTGCAACAATGCGGCCACCGGCTGCATCTTATCGCGCTCTTCAGCTGCCGAGTCGCTGCCGCTAGCCACCGCCTCTCACGTGTTCATTATGTCCGGTTCCCTGCCGACGAGGTACCTCGCCAACGCGACGCCGTCCGTCCGCTCCATCGACGGTTCGCAATGCAGTTAGCCCCCTCGACTGCAGTCCGCATCTCTCCGACGATCGCTGGCTCCTACGTTACCGCAATTGAACCCCTCATTTGCCTGACGTGGCATCATTTGGACCATACCTTTCACCGGAAATGTTCGTGGTCGGGCGAGCGAGTTGAGGGAACGCGGAGGCAGTCGCAACGTTCGGCCATTGCCGACTGATGGCGTCTTGGGTGACTTTGCCCGATCGAGCACCGTTGACGATTATGGTATCGAGATCTGTTCGCCATTGGGTCAATTGAGTTGGATTCCCAGGGCAGCTGTAAGTACTTGCGGTGCTTCCCGTCTATGCCGTTGGTTGCTGCTTCTCTCGTACGTAGGAAGTCAATTGGGTTGGGTAGACACTGAACCAACAGCAATTCCTACACTGAAGGAGGCATCCTCGACGGCCTAGGCGTCGCATTGATAATGATTGTTTTAGACGGCTTCGAGTGAAGACCTCACTTGTGCGCAATTGAGCAGTCTCGATCGCGGGCGAACCATCAGCGAACTTGTATGCGGACACGCATGCGCGACACTGCGTACTCCACCGTATGGGACAGGATGACGGACAGCTCCCAAGTTCCACTCCAGATGATCAGATCTTGCGTCTCTCGTGGTTATCTGGGGCGTCCAATGGGCTCATCAAGCCATTACCTCCGCTCCGCATTCGCCATTGGACTCTCCAGAGTGAGGCGGCATCTCTTGAGACACGCGCCCCCTCTTCGACTGCTCTCAAAGATGTTGTTCGCAAATGCGCGCACGACATACGAGCGTGGGGTCGAGGAGTGGGGTCGTGTAAGCAGCGGAGTCTGAGGGAGATATAATGGCACCGAGTTGCCTTGAAGCCTAGTTCTATTTTGGCTTGAACATCATCGAACAACGCCAATTCGCAACTGAGCACTCTATTCATCCCTCTTCAATTCACCTGTTTATTCCAGGCAGCACAATTTCAACTTTGAGAAAAGAGCAGGATGTTCCAACCCCAGTGTTAGCGTGCACTCTCTTACCCGTACGAGGAAATGCTCGCCGTCTCAAGACCAACCCCCTATACTAGACCTTCCTATCTGAACTCTTTTCCTCGATACCACCGCAGATCATCGAAGAAGAAGTCCTTCGTCGATTTTACCTGCTTGCTTTCCCGGTTCAAGGCTTTCCACAATAGCCGGCCGGGCAACTTCTCACCGGACATGCCTAAGAAACACGAAACCCCTTCCTCCAAACCACCCAAGTCCTCAAGCACTCGAGCCAACTCAGACCTTGTAGTGAGACAAGTATCAGTGAGTACTACCTCCTCTATTCCGCCAACTTGACATCCAGTTACTCACATAGTCAGGGAACACACAGCAACAGACCCTCATCCCCAACTGAAGGTAGTGGGGGAGGAAGTGAGGCCCAAAGCGCCTCTCAAAGGTAGCCTATCCAATGCGTTGGACTTTGCAGCATCCTGACACCTCTAATAGATCATCACCTCGGTCAATTTCTTCATCTCGCAGATCCGAACTCGCAGATCGGCCTGCTCGCACTACCGACTCGGGAACCGGTCGAAATAGGACGAGTCCCACATCAGCCGTCATCGATAATTATCTGGCCTATCGCAAGCAAGCGTTCATAAAGATATTCATGGCTAGAGTCTGCGAATGGCTTGACGACAACGTCTATAATCTTGGGGATGCCCAAGATCAAGATGGGGACTGCCAGCGTGGCTCGAAAGCTTCCAGCTCAGGAGGCGTCAAGAGACGTGCTGCGGAAGCGCGTCCTGTAGCTGGTCAGAAGAGGCAACTCAAAGGGCGTGATCAAGACGACGAAGGATCCGAAAACGACGAGAACAGCGAGCAGAAGCCCAACAAGAAGCGCACGAAGACAGATGAGGACGACGACCGCCCAAAGTTTGCGTGCCCTTACTACAAGCACGATCCTGTCAGATACAAGAGCCATCGAACCTGCGTTGGTCCTGGTTGGCACGAGATTCATCGGGTCAAGTGAGTGTGATAACTCGTCAGTTATCAAACACATCCACTAACGTGAACCAAGAGAGCATCTCTACCGATCTCATCGCATCTTTGCCTGTACCAGGTGTTTCGATACCTTTAAGACCGAAAAAGCACTTCAAGGTCATACGAGGGCAACTGTAGCTTGCACTGTGCTAGATGAGCAGAGACGCAAGCTAGACCCAGGCGCAGGAATGGATCAAGAGACGGAGAAGCACCTCAGAGCGCGTAGGCAATCTGGTAAGCATAACGGCGACAAGCACGACGATGTCAGCAAATGGTACGAAGTATATTACACCCTGTTCCCGGGGACACAAGACATTGGAAACCCTCCAAGTCCTTGTAAGTTTGAACCTCCTATTAGAATAGAAACCTGAGATGAGAAAAGAGCCCAAGTAATTGACCTTGGTATCAGGGTATGACACCAACCCGGACAAGACGAATGCAGGCGACTCCAACTCGAAAGGATTGGAGTTTCTTAAGTACTTGCGGCGTGAATTGCCCCACATGATCCAGCGCGAGCTCGAAAAAGATCTCAATCGTTCATTTGAGAGATATGGCGATGGTCTTATGGACAGCCTCTCGATCTGGATCCGAGACAGCTCGGCTAGGTGTGCTCAGATCTTTGAGCACATACCCTCACCTGCGCAGGTGGCGGACCTGGATGATCCCGAGACTGCGCAAGGATCTCGGGCGGTGTCGCCGCAGGTGTCACCCGATACCGACTTAACCGTCAGTGTCGGTGAAGAGGCCGGCGCCAGTACCGGTGTCATCGAGGGCGCTCTAGATTTCGATTTTGGTATTCCCGATATCGACATCTCCAGTCTCCTGAACTTTGACCTGCCCAACATTCCCTCGGACTTTCCGACCTCGGACGACCAGTGCCCTACATATCCCGACTCTGCCTACGGCACCGGCAGCGTTGAAGACGCTTCTGGAGCTCGGCGAAGTTACATGTGAGAATAAGTGAAATACCTTGTTTTCATGGGATGCTATGTTTTCTCGGCACTTATACGTTATCATTTCATCATCATGGTCAATAAGCTGTGGCACTTTGCCATTGCACAGCCAATCTCGAAATCATCGAATCTCGTTCTTTACCCACCACTCCTTTCTCGTTATGTCTAGTGGTTCTTTTGTGGTAGTTCTCTATTGTCATACTCCTGATAGTGTTGGAAATATGTAGGAAGGAAGAGGTTGTACATTTACAATGAACTGTGTACTTGGTTTCCTTTTGTCAGGCTGTCATCGAGTTGTTGGTTCTTGTTTCGAGCTATTACATCTAGCATAGTGATCCTCCACACTAATTCCACTCTTTACGGTCATTCGTCTTCACTCGTTTTGTGCTCTACATACGATCTATCTAAGGGAATCGAATGACGACTTTGTTTTCCAAGTGATCGCTGTAGCGGCGGTAATACTCCGGCGCATCCTCAATGTCAATCTCAGCCGTGACTACAAAGCTCGGCTTAGCGACGCCAGACGCAATCAAGTCCAGCAAGGGAGGAGCCCGAAGCAAAGGCAAGACGATACCAGTGCCGATAGACAAGCCCTTCCTCCATAGCGATGCCATGGGGATCGGAATCTCCGCTGGCAGAGTCCCCGCATTAGGCGCGCCTTCGGTGCTGTTCCCACCGCCGTTATAGACGCCGCCGATGCCCATGCCTCCATACACGGCGGTCACCGCAACCATGTTCTCCAGCACGATGCCGTTGTGGGGGTCTCCCGTGGCGTCAACGGATTCGAAGCCCACGCAATCGAGGCTGCGCGTCACGCCGCCGGGCTCGCGGTTGAGTATCGCTTCCACGGGGTCTTGTTGGGAAAAGTCGATGGGGATGGCGCCCAAGGATTCGGCTTGCTCGAGGCGGCTGGCGACGCGGTCGATGACGTAGACCCTGGAGGCGCCGCGGAGTTTGGCGGAGTAGGCAGCTAGGAGGCCGACGGGCCCGGCGCCGAAGATGGCGACTGCGTCGCTTGGTTGGAAGCCTGAGTAGGAGAGGACGTGCCAGCCTGTTGTGAAGACGTCTGAGATCATGAGGTAGTCGAGTTCGGATGCGTTGTTGGACAAGGTGATTGGGACTGGGATGAGGGATGTGTCGGCGTGTGGGACCCTGGCGTACTCGGCTGTTTACAAAGTCAAAGGTCGAGTCAGCTTGGGTTGTCTCTTCTCCTGAAGACGAGTATCCGTATGGTCTCTGAACGGACTAATCATACGGTAATAGGGGGAAGAGGGGTAGTTATCTTGCCGAGAACATACCTTGCAGTCCGCCATAGTTTGCGTTCCCAACGCCAAAGGACAAGGGGTGCGATGGGCCCCAGTGCCCGTCATCAGCGTTGTCTGGGATGATGACATAGTCGCCAACCTGAAGGCTCGAGACGGCATCGCCGACACTGGAGACGTAGCCGACGGCTTCGTGGCCGAAACCGTAGGGTACGTCGGGCGAGCCGCCGAAGCCGTGGTACATGTGGAGGTCGGAGCCGCAGATGGCGGAGGAGGTGATGCGGACGACGACATCTGTCTGGTTGATGATGGTGGGAACGGGCATGTTGATTACGGAGACGTTGTAGGGTTGGCCGAACCAGGCTACGGCTCGCATTGTTGATATTGTTGCGTTTGTTATGTTGAGTGCCATGTTTACGGTTCAACGGAGATGCTCAGGGTGAGACGGGGTGTCTGCACTGTATGCGATAGCAGAGAGAAGCTCTGATGAGAATGGAAACTGCAGGTAGAGCAATATAATTTGCTGCTCCTTCCTTCAAAAGAGCAGTCAAGGAGAGAGAACGAGAAGCCATTTCTTATACTTCCCTGTTTCCCTGAAGTCCGTCACTTCGGGATGATACATACATGATATGACGATACGTCTACATCAACATCATTATGACTCTATCTCCATGAGTACCATCATCACGGCGTCTCATAGTGGAAATCAGTCCTCTCAGCCCAGTATATCTTGCGAGTGCGGCAGAACCGTCATCATGCAAGAGCGGCCTGGTCCGGCTGCAAGCAGGCGGTGATGACCGTACATACGTGCCGCGTATGCATGCATGCTGATCAGCCGAGACTTTGATACTGATCCCCTGATGCCCTGGTCTTAGCAAGCTCTACTACCTGGCTCTCTACTACTATCAAGAAGCGTTGAAGGCTGAGGTTAAAATTACCTGCTGGCAAAAAAGTTCCGGTTACACCCCTGTTAGTTGCTGACACGGGGTTAAGCATATCTCCCGAGGAACGGCAGTGCACCGCTTACACCCAGCTGGATTTCTTCTGTAGCCGCCAATAGGAATAAAGAGAAGCCAGGATTGACCCAGTCTGAATTGGCTGATCATGTACGGGCTTAAGGCTTAAGAAGGTCTTCCTAGTCTGTCATCAAGACCTATTCCATGTACCACTGGCGAATGATGACGAGCGCCAAGCAGATATGTCAGAGGAGAAACTGTCTAACTTTCATGTCCATTGGACAAGCCTGATAATCTCTTGTAGATATCTTAATTCTGCGTAGACATTCTACGGGTCTAGTCAAAATGTAATTTCCGCGTCAGTCTCGCTCTAATTCATTTCTGCGAACTTCTACATGACAGCGAACGGCACTCGACCGATGAACATCTTGGTTCGGCGAGTGTGTAGCTCTCTGAAGTAAGACTACAGGGCCACATAAGCAATTAGGCGAGTGGCTTACATACAGGAGTGATTCAGTCACAGTCGGACCGAAGTTCATCTCCCTGGACTATTCCGCAATAACACGCGCATATTTCGGGGAAACCGATTCTCCGTCCTTTCTCTGCATTTAAAGAGTCTAGCGGTTCGAAGTCTACCTTCAACTGTTCCTTCCAAACCACTCAATTCTCCTCAATCGTCGAAGAGTCCTTTCTTTTCTTTCACTCTCTTGGTTTCAGGCCCCACACTCTCTAGTAACGCCATCCTCGCGTGGATAGTCCTTCGTCATGAAGCATCCCGCGCTCGTTATAGGTCTCCTTTGCGGACTCACGGCTGCAAAACCTACTAAGCTCAACACCTGGTCTATCGGTCAGACGGTTTCCACCACCAGTGGCCGTGTCGTCGGCCACGCTGCTCAGGACGTCCCCGATGTTTCCGAGTATCTCGGCATTCCGTTTGCCGCTGCGCCTGTGGGCGCTCTGCGTTTCCAGCCTCCTGTTCCCTACAATGGCTCCGCAGTCATCAATGGCTCAGCATTTGTAAGTCTAGTGGCTGTCTCGTTTATGTCTGCCTAAGGTACTTCAACTGAGAAACGTTGAGCATCTAACATGTCGCGAATCAGGGCCCTGGATGTATGCAACCGTCTGACACAGAGTACCCTCAAAGCGAAGACTGCTTGTCAGTCAATGTTTGGACCAAGCCGCAAGTTGGCGAGCGGAAGAAAGCCATCCTTGTTTGGGTACATGGAGGCGCTTATTCCTATGGTTCGTGAAGTGTCTGGCAACTAGAAAAACCAGGCGTTGACTAACACGAGCTTCAGGAAGCGCGAGACAGGACGGATACAGCGGCCGTTTCTTCGCAAACGACTCGGATGTGGTTCTGATGTCTATTAAGTAAGAACACTCTAGTCTAGAGGTCGGGAACAAGGACTCACGATGCCAGTTACCGTCTTGGAATCTTTGGGTTCCCAGGCAATCCCGCCACCACTGCGAATCTAGGATTACTGGACATGCGACTTGCCATGGAATGGATTCGCGACAACGCCCCAAAGTTTGGAGGTGATCCCAGCCGGATTTCTGTCTTCGGTCAGTCCGCCGGCGCTGGAATGGCAGACTTCTACGCCTACGCCTACGCTTCGGATCCCATTGCCAACGGCTTCGTCCTTCAAAGCGCAACGGTCGTCGGCTTCCCCGCTCTCAGCAGGAACTATACATCGACACGGTGGTTCAGAATTGCGGCGGCTGTCGGCTGCAGGGCTGGCATCAGCAACGCCACCAACTACAAACTCATCACGGACTGCATGAAGAACCGGACCACAGAGCAAATCTTTGGCGCGTTTGGGCCCGAAGAGACAGGCGTCGGCTCTACGCCCGCTTTCGGGCCCGGCGTGGACGATGTTCTCGTCTTTGAGGATTATACCGGTCGTCGAGCTGCCGAGGCTGGATATCTGATCGGCGACAATGCCAATGAGGCGGGACTCTTCCGTTCGATGCAGACGAATAGGTCGGACGCGTACTGGAACGACTTCAACTTTAGATACTACACCTGCGGTGACGCCATCAGAATCAGCCAAGCTGTGGACGATGGGATGCCGGCCTGGAGGTACCGGTATTTCGGAGACTTTCCCAACCTGGCCATCTCTACCAACCCGCCCAGCGGAGCCTATCACGGTGCTGAAGTAAGTGTTTACACTGCTGCCCTGGTATCGTACATTGGAAGGTAGACTAATGGCTTTTCTTTAGCTCCCACCTCTTTTCGGCACGCTGCCTCAGACACCACTCAGCACTGCAGTCGAACTGGCAACTGCTGAGTTTCTTCGGGGGGCGTGGACGACCTTTGCTAAAGACACTTCCTCTGGTTTGCTTGGCTACGCTGGCGGATGGCCGATCTATGATCCCGCTCAGCTGACCCTTGCTCAAATTGCGCGTGACAATCAGACGGGAACAAACTTGGGTCTCGGGAACTCGTTTGATGGCATTTGCTCGTCTTTGCCAGCGATTCCCCCTCCCTAGACTTGTTGGTACGGCGTCGAGCCGCTCTGCGAGTTGACCATATTTCGGGTTCTTACCACCCTGAACTGGAGATCTTCGATGTGTAGACATACAGCCTGATGCTTGCATTTATCTCAACATTGAGTTAGAATTGATAGTTTCCGTACCCAGCTATTCGTTAGAAAATAGAAATTACCACGCCACGGGATCTCACGGTCAGAGAGTAGGTGAACCTTGTATTGAAGAAAACAGTCGTGGACATTAGACTGCATTGAATCTGCCTCGCTGACATTTGTACGAACAAATGTAGAGACTAACCAACAATCATCAAGACGTACAGATGTGGATGTAGTTGTACATGGTATCTGATCCAGGAAATATGTGGACATTCCATGCCCAAGTAGGGGATCAAACCCAATCATCAGAATTGTGCATGATCCTGAGAATGTCAACATTCTGTCCTCCAGCATCTGGTCGACTTGGCCCGAAGATGCAACGCGTGGGTGGCGCAGATTATTATAATTAATGCTGCTTTCGGTTACTCAAAGTTTAAGGGGGCAGTTGACTAATCGAAACCAGCAAAGCTGTGACAGGTGAATTGATTTGTGACGACAGTAGTCCACATCACTACTTAGTACTATACATGTAACTGTGCATGAACCAACCGCTGTTACCATTCCAAAAGGAATTCGGCACTCGAAATGATCGATTGGTTGAGTGCGCACTGCTAGTCTTGTTTTGTGGGCAGAAGTCACTAAAGGTCATCTTGGTATGACTGCAAACATGAATGATTATGACGCCTAGTAATCTGAAGGCACGAATGGATCGATACGAGGATGCCTTTAGGGGCTGATGCTATATTTATTAAAACCATTGTCTCGGTTTCAGTTAATGCTCTGTGCCTCCCATCTATCGTGGCATTAAGAGAAGATGTGGCAACTTGGTTTGTCATGATAATAGCGATATCAGGAACGTCTAAGGGAGACAGATAATATCACAATAACACGAGGCTCTTGGCTTTGAAAGTTATGAACTATTCGAGAATCCTTCATGCGATTATCATTTCGCATGGTTGATCATGAAGTACCAGGTTGTCAGTCGCCATGCCGAGTGCGTAGAAAAGATGCTTGATCTAATTATCATCTATTTCGACAACATTCTTCACCTTCGTGTTATCTATTAACTTAGACAGTAGCTATTTCTTTACTTTATTGTTCAAGTCTACCCGAGTCCTACATTTCTTTCTCACAAATTACAACCAGACCTCTCTTTGAACCATACTAAGTACATTACCTATGATAAATGCATGTAGGAGGCAAACCAGAAAGACTAACGCAACTTCATTTATTGATTCTTTCAACGAGCTTGCCATAGAGTCCTTGGTACATTAGTGCGATTTATTGAGACCTTCACGGGATTTACTACGCTCGAGGGAGTGGAGACTACTGAAATCCTTAGTCTACATGGCCTGACTCTGCAATGGCGCCCCGTAACCTCTATCTTGCCTTTTCCTTCCCGAATACCCTTATTTCTCTAGAAAATTACTTAGCGTCACAAAGATACCTCGAATGCGAGACTCAACAGTGGCAGCGGTCAAAAGCAATGTGAAATATCAGCTACGCTGAAGGTCAGCTCAATTTACCCGACGGTTTGTCAACTTTGCTGACAGGGTCTGACATATGACTGGCACAGTTAAATCAACATATGCAAACTACAACCGAATAATATTACCTAGGCTTACTGTTTGCTGTTGGATCTGTCTCCATATCTCAAGTACGTGCCAAAATGTGTGACTGTTTGCTGTTGGGCCCGTCTTAATACCCCAACTAAGAGTCACATGCTGTATGTCACGCCTCCTTGGACTGTTTGCTTCTACCTCCAAAACCTCCCATATTGCCATTGTAGCCGTGACACATCTGATGAATTGTCAAACGCCACCAAGCTTGACTCAAGAGAATCTATCTACTTTGATTCACGGCCAAATTCTTGGATATCTAGATCGCGTGAGCAGCCAACAGAAGCAGCTAGCAGCTTAGCATCGATTTGAAGATCGCCGAGGGGACGTTGGGCTGATCAGATCCTACCCAGCCTCCCAATAACACGTCGTCCTGGTGTATAACCCCGCTTCGCGCGGCCTGCTCCGCTCCGCCACACCACCCTCAACTTGTAGACCCCGGTGCGATATCCTAGGAAATATCACTGGCCCGGATGGTTGCTCTGCAGGTCGTTCAAGAGGCTCGATTCTATTGGCGGAACTGCAAGAGCCGCCAGTTGTCATGTTATTTCACGGCTTGGCTTTCGGAGAGTGGTTGCGTGTTCGTCAATTCATGTGGCACATCAGGTTATTTGTCTCCGAGGTCAAGTTCTTCGTGACGATTGTTAAAATGCTCCCCCATGATCAAGACATTATCAATCACCGTCTCTTCAGACCTCTGCATATGTCGGCAGTGGCCTGCAGTAACAATGCAACCGTTTTGTTTGTCTGACGGAGAAAAAAGAAAAGACTCCATTTTCGGCACATGCTGCGCCGCGAGTTGTTTTAATCAAATTTAATCTTGACCGATAACAAAATTACTCTTGCGCTAAATTCTCAGCTCGCCTACGTGTACGACAAGGCAAGCCACCATGACATGGCTCTTCCCGCCCGGGATGGCTGGCTAGGTGGAGAGATGAACGCTAGGCCCCGTTCGTGCAACGATATTCTAGAAGACCGCTCGTCAGCGCTCTCGCTCAAAAAGCCATGTGATCTATCTCAATATGTAAAAGGGAGCCCCGAGCGCTTGGCACGTTTTTCGAAACCCTAGTCGATCGGTGAAGACCGTTGTCAGCGATGAAGATTTGAAGCCACAAGACTTCCAGTCCCAAGTCGCCGTCTAGCGCGGCGAGCTTTTCCACGACCGGACGTGAGACCCGTTAGTTATCCCCCGGGAGAGACTAAGGACGCACACTAGAGAGCATAAGCTCTTTCCTCCCCCCAGGTCGGGAGAGTTAGCCTGCCCGTTGAAGCCAAGACGCCGGTTTCCTAGTATGTTGTGTGCCTGGAACTTTGGCAACAAGCCGGCTGCGCTTATCAGGTGATGGCATTTCTTTTGGGGAAGCCATCTCCGGCACTTGCGAGGTCCTCGCCATCGCAGCATTACTGCTCTGTCGTCACCGGGTGATCACAGGGTGACGAGCCACTTTCTCGCCTATCGCCAGACTGTCCAATCCGTGTGCGTGCGGCTCGCTACCATAAATTGAACAAGAGCTCATGCCTCTGCCGAGGTAAGCGGTAAGCGGCATCGCATTGCTACGTAATTTGCGGGAAAGGAGCATCTGGTTCCCTCTTTTGAGTATTTTCGCGTGGCGTCAGAGTTGGTCACCTTTGGCAGTTGGGGGAGACCCGAAGTTCCGCGCGATGTCCATCATCTCCGCCGACCAACCCGTACTCCTGGAATCTCGCGACGGCACAATTTTTCCTAGTAAGAGGGTCCACACGTATTCCGCTTAAGCCTGGGCCTTTTACTTTTACCCTTGGGCTTTCACACGTGGATCGTGCAAGTTTCGGCAGTCCTCTTGATCTCTCTCCTAAACGACGAAAACTCCTCAATCTTTTCGTTTGCTTTTAGTTCGTTACGACTCTGTAATACTGTTGCTATCACCCTATCCTCCTGATTTCTGGGCGCACGTTTGTTGTTGAGAGCACGACCCCATCGGTGTTGCAACAGAAGGTTCCTTGAGCTCCGTTATTTTGCAACGTTGAACCTTTCACGATTCAGTCAAATCAGCGGCCAAGCTCCCCTGGAAACGGCCGAGCATCCCGCATCCGAGGAAGGGAGTCCCGCTTTGGGCGGCATGTGGCCATTTCTATTTAGATCCATATTGGAATAAAGAAAAATAATACTACCGCGCGGGCTCACAGCCCAGCAAGGCCTCCGTTGCGGCGTGCGGCGTGTGGCCTGCCGCACCTTTACTCATTACACGGTTCACACCTGTCGTCGGAGAGAAAAAGCAGGACAGAGTGACAGCGACGTATGGAAAAGGAAAGACGCAAGAAACAAAAAAGGAAAATAAGATAAAATCAAACGAACAGGAAAACTCCCGGCGTCCTTCTCCTCTTTTCCTGAGACTTGCGTTCCCACAAATCCACCGTCGACACATGTCACTGCTCACTACCGCCGTAAATTGTCCGAATCCCCGCCAAGGCCTAACCGTTGGACATTCGGCCGAATCACGAAGCCGGAATCGTGTCACACAACGGCCAACAGAGGAAGCACTCGGACGGAGACAGAATCCAGTCTGGACACCACATCGGGATTGCTTTTTTCGGGGAGGAGATGTTGGAGGGGGAGGCGTCACCAAGTGACACCAACGTCCAAAAAGCGGACGTGGCCCTCGGATCAAGTATAGATCATCCATCTACACTAGGACGTCGCCATGGAAGGGGGATTTTCTGATTGGTGTCCCATTGGCGCGGATTCTGGAACGTCCCCAGCCCAGTATTTAGTGACATTCAAAGTGTCAAAAGATGGGATGGTCCTACGGTACACTAACGGGACGGTGACAACCGCGTGCCCGCGATAGGGAGACACGAAGGCTGAAGCGAACAACTCGTGCGACAATGACAGCTCGGGTACTACACGGGACTCGCTTGCAGCGTCGTTACCCGTCAGCCTGAATGAGAACGCCGGAATTCCATTTCTGGAACGACTGGATCCTCTTGAAAACTTGGAAGAGGGATCACGGTGTCACATTCGACCTTTTGCTCGCTCTCTCAACTTCTCAACCGCACTTTTCACAGTCATTCCACGTGGCCGCACGGAGGTGTAGAGCCGGGATGTGGGAAAATTGTACCACGTATAGGAGCACTCAGTCACTTCGGCCCCCCTAAAGTGCAACCCAAGGTGGGTGAATTACGCCACAGTGCCCCTGTCCCCGAAATCGTGCACCCAAGCCTATCCATGTCCGTGCCGCTGCTATGTAGCCATGCCTATGCCGGGTTCGAAAATGCACTTACGTGCATTTGGGAACACCCAACAGTGGTATCCCACTGGCTGGGCTGCTCGCGGAATATCCGCTTCAGTCACAAGCAAGAAGAGAGATCTGGGAGGAAGAGCAAGACCCAATCCTCATTCACTTTTCTGCGGCCTCAACGGGGCCGCCCACGGGTGGACACCACACGAAAGAAACGATCTGCCGGGATTCGAGAGGTCAGTGGAGAGGGAACGCGAACCGGGACAAGGATGCATGTCTCATCTATATCGCCGCCCATGAGTCGACAGCCCTCCTCGGGGCATCCCTGATCGTGGATAGTGTAGAGCGGGGGGCAGATTCCATCGCTGGGCGGACCAAGACTCCAATCTTGGTGACGCCAAGGCTAAGCCGCTTGAAACCACAAGTCAAACAATTCGTACCCATCAGTGCGGTCCAACCCTAACCGTATAGATTCTAGAAGGGAGTGAGGAGGAAGCTAGCAGATCAACTCCAGGTGTATCGCCAGGCCTCGACATCGCAGAAACACTTACAACACTCAGAACCCCCTTTGCACAGCCCATCATCTCCTGCTCCCGATACGGCGGACATCTTGACTCGGTAATGTCGTAGGCGATGCTAGTCATGGACACCAACCTGAGAACGGCCGGAGTGAACTCTGTTGAATATTCTCTCTCCCTGTAACAGCCCGGTTTCACGCAGTTGCACCGCTGCCTCTATCCGTCTTCCATTTCGTACAGTCTGTGAGTATCGTCGCTGATCTCGGTCTTCCTCTCCACCGTCAGGGCTGGCGAGCCGCCTCTTCCAACTCCCCAGCTGCGCAGTATGCATCCACGGGACGGCGACGCTCACCTGCCCGTCTGGCTCCTCACCCTCCGAAGGGAATACAGGATGGATGAGGGTGCATGTGTGTGTCTGGTTCAGCCCATTGAGCGGACTGCAGGAAGACTCGAGGGAATCCCCCTGCCAGGAAACCACCCGACTGCGCAAAGTATATTTTTTCATCTTTTGGCCGTGATCTCGCACAGCCGTATACATTAAACCAGGAAACACCTCATACAGACGGCCAATCAGCCCATGATACTTGTGCGTGTTGGTGGAGCAGAAGCTGCGCACTAACGTCTGCAACCCCGGCTGTTCATATATTTCCAGGAGTCGCCGCCTTCGCGGGGTCCGCCAAGTCTAGAATCTCGCATGTTGGTGCAAGGACAAACTGGGCAAAGCCTGGCTGGACGCACGATTCCCCTTCCCATCCTTTCCTGCCGCCTCTACTCTCCCCGTCCCTGTTGGTGGACCGTGGATTGAGTGTTTGTGTGTGTGGTGTGTGTTCACTCTCTGGTGTGTGTGCCTCTTCTGCAGCCTCTGCTTATGCCTGGATATTGCCCGTCCCTGATCCTGCGCCGCCCTCCCACTTTCTCCTCATCTCTCTTTTCCTGCAAGCTGACTCTTTTTTGATTAGGCCCAGTCAGTCACACACACTCTTTTTACCTTTTTGACTTTCCCGTTCCCGCGCCTGGTCGCTTTTGCCTTCATTTGGTTCGTCTTTTTGTTTCTACTTCATCCTCGCCTCTCGCCCTTCCATCTAGGTACTGCCCCGTGCCGTGTGAGTGTCCGCCTTTCGCACGCCGTCCGCCGCAGCCAGCCCGACGTCCGAACACCACCGCTCCCTACGAGAACTACGAACGGCCTCTTCAAACCACGATTCAGAGGTTTGAGGCTTTACAGCCCGGCCGAGAATGTAACGATGGACTTCTACTCACGAGCAACAAACGATGGACCCGTACATGCTTTTGTTAACCCTTTCGTCGAATTGAACGCTGGGTTGTGGAGTTTATTTGCTGGTGCGACCGTTTTCCTCGCACTACGCCTTTGGTGTAAGATCACAAGACGACACGGACTGTGGTACGACGATTATATTCTTGTGATATCTTGGGTGAGTTGCGGACCCCCTCAACCAACATCGCGTAGCACCGCGTACACACGATTTCATTATTTGCAATGTCTTCCAAGGACATCTGGTCTCCCCTTCGGACGTGTTGGCTTGCGAGGTTAGTTGATGTAGTCTGACTAACCAAACTGACTAGACTCTTTTGCTGGCCAACAACATTTTGATTGTTTACGAATTCGCGACCGGCTATGTACTCAAGGACTCGTCGGAACAATGGGATGACCGCATGCACATCCTCATCAACATCTCATCTTGCGGCACTCTCATCGGACAAGCATGGACCAAGTCGGCTTTTGGCGTCACCCTCATCCGAATGAGCAACCAATGGCAGCGATGGATTCTTTATTTCTGTATCGTTACGATGAACGTGTACATGATCGCCAAGGTTGTCGTTCAATGGGGAAAAGTTTGCGGCAGCAAGAGTTACGATGGCGACTACCGACTGAACTTTTGCCTCGAAAAGAAATTCCGTGACGACTTCAAGGAGGGCGGAAATGGTGAGTTCTACTTGATGACAGGCAGTTTATGCCTGACAGCCCTCTCATCACACGATCTGTAACTGATTCAAGTCTGCAGTTTACAACATTATTATGGACTTCGTCTTTGCGTGCTTCCCCTGGTTGATCACCCGATCGCTGGAAATGAGACGCGCTGAGAAGGTTGGCCTATGTATCACGATGAGTTTGGGAATGATGTGAGTTTGAATCAGTTTCGTGATTTTGATAATTTTGGCAACATGCTAACTATTCTCAGTGTCGCCATTGTTGCCGCCATCAGAGTCAGTTGGAAAGATGAGGGTAACGGTCGTGATCAGTGGTACATCTGTAAGCCAAGCAACCCAATCTTGATGGAATCTCACATGAATCGCTAACACGATCTGATTACAGGGCGCAATGGCCTGTCCCAAGTCTGGTGAGTAGTATTCTGAGGAGCCGAGTTCCGTGCCATCTCCACTCAAGGACGCGTTCGCTAAGATTACATCAGGTACTCGTCGGAAATTACCGGCACCATCATCGTGCAGTGCATCCCCATTCTGCGCCCGATTCTCAGAGAAATCCACACGTCCCTGACGTCCAAGAGACTTGAGTCTACCGCCGGCGGCCAGAGCACAACCTTCGGGAGCAAGCTCAGCAGTGGCAAGCGGATATCGACGGGCGTAATGCAAAACGACAAGCAAGGAAACGAGCGGATCGCGCTCCGTGAGATCCCCGAGGAGCCCGCCGACGACTCACCGTACTGGAAGCAGGACCCCGCCCGCTCGTCCGACTCGACGACATCGCCGTCCGAGACCGACTTCAAGCCGCGCCCGCCCACTGCACCGCTGCCCGACATGTGGCCGCTATCAGGAAACGAGAGTGCGGATCTCAACGGGTCTCACTCCGGCAAGAGCTTGGATTTCGAGCACGACCCTCACAACATCTCCCATTTGGATGTCGAGCAAGGGCATGTTCAGCAAGGGTTATCGCCGCCACCGCCTCGCAGGTTTCCTTAGCCATGATTAGGAACGGAAAGAAAGAAACGATGTTAAGATTATTTCACAAAAAGGAGGCCGTAGCAGACCGAGGACCCATCCCCATCCGGCAGATGTAATTGGACTCTTCACCTCAGCAGAGAGACACCAGACGGCTTCGAGAACCATGAGAACATAGAAAATGAGCGAGCAACAAAAGAGGTCTCTTCATCACGCCCAACCCACCTCACCACCTCTACTTCTCCGCGCCAGCAAACCCACCGCACTGGAAACCAGTCCGTTTGGCCAGCTTCAATTGGGGTCCAGGGTTCAAATCAAGATCCCTTGACCCGACGTTCGACGGCGAGCCATCACACCTCTTTTGTTGCGCAACACGACACGACTCTTTCTCACTCGCTCACTAATGCACCACGACGATCATCGAGACTCGCGCGGTCTCAACTCATGACAACAACTCACGTCGCTGGGATATGAAGCTTCCTCAGGGAACATCCTGAGGGGGAAAACTGGAGTTCACGGAGGGGAGGGTACTTGGGATGTGGGGGAAGGCAAATCCGGCGAAAATAAGCCCTTGTATATTACTCGCGTTGTTTGGATTGGCAGCGGAAATTGTGTGTATACTTTTAATGATTGGGCATCAAGTTATCCCAATCAAGTACATAGTTCATCATCATCATCAACAAGAACAAGTTACATATCTTGCTGGAAACAACTCGTGCCTTTTCGGTCGCCCCATGCAGTGTGATCGCCTCTCTCTCGTCATTTGGCCCCCTTTTGCTCACCACCCCTCCCCTAGACCGAGGCTGAGCAAAACGTTGAAACAACGGTCCGGGGGCGATCTCTGGAACGGTGAACCTGGGAGCCTGGCTGTGACGCAAACTTGTCAAAAAACGTGACATGCTGCACCCCAGTTGAGCACTTTGCGGTCTTCAGGGTTGCGACCTGTTGTTCTGTGACGGAAATGGCTATGACATCAAAATCCTCCGATGCTGCAGTCACTCAAAAGAGTTAGTGTGGCAGCTATCCTGTCAATTAGCCATATGCAACCACACCGAAACTCTGAGTTCAGCGTATGCGACCGTTGGAGGGAGAGGGGCAAGCCTCAAGGTCTCAATTGAGAACATGTTCGTCTCTAATGAAATCTAGTTCCATCAATTAGCCAAACCTTCAATTGAGATGAAGAAACCTCTGGGCGATTTACGGGGTACTTAGCGTGACTGACGTGCATTTGTCTCGCATCGGGCAAGGGGATCACACCAAGAGTACCTACTGTAGGTACCTAGAGATCCCGGGATGATGATCAGCACCACGCTCATCTGAGTCGATAACAACGTACCGAGTAGTTGATGAGATTCTTAACAGATCTACGGCAGTTGAATGGCATGGAAATCCACTAGAATAACCACCGGAAGTCTGGAAACCCGCCATATGCAGCGTGCCGGAATTGACAAATGGTCCGGGTATCACGATGCCGGCCGACCGGTGCAAGTCACACAATACCCTTCTCCACGAAACTCGAGACAAAGAAACGCGAGTAATAACGCGCGGCGATTATGAGAATGCTCAAGCCTTTTCCCGCGAAGATTGTCATAAGATGTTGCACATCATAGCCACCCCAAGAACCAAACCCGTGGCCTCCCATGTTTGATCGTCTGTATAAGCTTGTTAGAACATCGCGTGCGCGCGGCGTTCAATATGTGATACGCCTTATGTTCCTCATCGTCAGCAAGGGTGGTGGTCGTTCAAAGGGGGATGTGTGGCAGGGCTTGGCTTGAACCTGCGACAGGTGCGAGCGATCCGTGCCCGCGCTGTCCACGCTGCCTTCACGCGGACATAGTGTCAAGATGACTTGGACGAACGACGTCTGATGGGGTTCTTTCGGACGAAGATGGAACGACTGAACCTGCACAGAGGGAGGATACGCTACTCCCACCTTCCCGATGGGCAGTATTCAGGCCGGTTTCAACACCCTGTGTTGAACAAAAGTGTGGTGTTGCGCCGTTGCATGTTCTGTCCGTGGAGTATTACATGACATTTCACGCGCTACCCAGAACAGCTCCAAGAGGTAAGAGCTTCGAAAAGACCAGACGATACACATACCAATTGAGAAATTCTCGGGCCAAGCGGAATGATTGATCACTTATTTGGTCAAAGTACTTGGTTCATAATGCTTGGCCAATTGCCTCGGTTTGCTAGATTTTCTCACTAGCGTATTAGTGCTGGACTAATACCTAGTCAAAGCTCTCAAGTTCTCGGCGATAGGGCATTCATACACCTGGTAAAGGTTTTCTTTGCAACTCATCATAGTGTGGGTTCTCGGAGTTGCCAACTGCCAACCAATAGCTTCTGAAGCCTCAGTCACAGGGAGATAGGTCTAACTACGCGTCTCTCTTGTCCCAAGCTCAAGCTACCTACTGCTCTGACACAAGGATCCTCCCGGCGCCACCTCTATGAACATGCTTTATCTTTGCAATTGGCCTCAATAGCTTCGGTCTAAAGATAGCTGGGTTGGCTTCTGAGTAAATACCTGTAAACTCCATACAACCTCCGGACTTCCCATATAACAGTTCCCATGCACACTCAAATTGGCCCACTGTTGCAATGCAATTGATCCGACGATACGTGGATTCGGCCGATCAACAGTTCGCAGTCGCACTCGTTCAACAGCGGGGAATTGTGGTGAAAATATGGGACTTTTAGATGGATATCACGCCATTCCGGGGAGCTGGAAAGATTGTTGACGGGCAGAATATCAGAGTGCCGATTCGGTGCAACACTGCTACCAAAGTTCAGGGCAGCTTCATAGAAACTTCATCCGTCCGTTCTTGGCAATTTACACACTTTCAATCAACTCTTTTGAAAATGTCAGCGGCGTTAAGTCCACACTGGAACGGGAGACATGACTCAACAACTCGTCAAAGCGTATCTTGAACACTATCCTCTTGCATTATACCGAGTCAACCGACGAGAGCTAAAAAAGGAAGCTAACGCAGACGATCCTAATCATCGGGACGGCCCCAGCGATGATTCCCACTATCTAGATTAAGTCCCCCAAAGTTAAAAGGTGAGCTAGCACGCCCGACTCCATGGTAAGCACGTCAGGCGCTGATAGACTGATAGGGTTCCGGTATTCATGACCATGCTCTCTGGGCAGATATTTGTCGATCATTCTTCTGCCCTCGTTCGCCGGAACTGCCGTCGGCCGCGTCACGGCTCAATTGAACACCAGAATAGGTGAATTATACACTTTTACTTTGGGGTATCGTCAACTTGGAAGAATCGTTTTTAGAGTTAAAGTTTGATCCTTACCTCGGCACGAGAAGGGCACCTTGGTGAGCGAGTGACATCTTGGCGGGTGGTTTGTTGGAATGCTGTGGGGGAAATTTAGCTTCGCTGGAATTCGGGTCTTTCCAGCTGTATCTAACAGTCTAACTCTGATAAAGAAACTCAAAGTCGATATTATTACTTGACGAGTCGCTTCAACGATTCATGTTGACATTGTGGGTATTCCAGCTTGAACAGAAGAACTTGGAACACGCTAGAACTATGACATTGCCATCCTGTAGGCGCCGGCGGCATTCGTGGTAGACTTTGAGCTTGGATACATAGTACAATTCTTGAGGCTTTGAATCTTGTATGCATAAAGTATTAAGAAGATGTAGGGTAAAAGTATTTAGAATAATGTATGAGGAGAGCTCTTCCTTAAGCGCCGAACAATACCCGAACTTGATGTGAAGAAAAATAAAACAAGACCAATAGAGGTAACTCTTAGTAATACCGCTCCTTCCGGCTCACATCTAGCTTCCTCGTATGTGTTGTCTCCTGGAAGGCTAGCTGAACATTGCGTTTATCGTCAGACTCCGCTCTCACAACCTTCTCCCACACTTTGTCAGAAGTGACACCAGCTCCAGCATCTGCCAGGTCTTCATCAGATGGAGGCGGCGTCTTGAGTGCGAGTATGATCAAGTCTTGTAAATCTGACCACGGTATCACGCTCAGGACCCGGATGCGCTCTCCACCTGACTTGAACTTGAAAAGTTCCAAAACATACCCGATTCCGACTGATGCAGCATAAAAGGTGATGGTGCCGAGGTATACAAGCATCATGACCTGAGCAAATTCCAACGTCTTGCGACCTTGACCTGATCCGTATCCGTAGCGTTCCGCAGTGAAATTCATTGGGAAAGTCGTGTTGAGCATTGCCTTGAAGTCCGCGAAGCTTTTGCTGACCTCGACAGTGTTGCCATTCCACTTATCTCGATGATGTGTATTGTTATAATGACTTATTGTATGAATACCGCCGCGGTAGCCGTGTTGTTCGTTCAAGTCGAGATACGTCAGCTGATCCTCAGTCTCGTTCAATTTGACCCGAGTCCTTTGTTCTAGATTGCCTCTCGCTAGGCCCTCCAACAAGTAAACTCCGAAGACTTTGGCAAGGAAGATTTCTGCTGCAGTGTTGTTGGTGCCGTCAACAGGGGCCAGGACGTTCACGGTAGTCCCATTCTGTTCTTGCTTCGAAGAAAAGTTCACGATGATCTGACCGATACCCGTGGCACGGGCCGTGTCCGATAAGTTCCATCCTGGGTTGAGATGTTTAAACCAATCCGCATGAAACTTCATGACGCGGACGTCGGTGTTGTTGTTGCTGTGGTATATCTCTCGCATACTCTTGTCGTTGTTCAGTGACGACTGGAGAGTGTCGCTGACGCCCGGGTCGATCGAGAACTTGGAGGGTGCCCAGCTTGCAAGTAAACTACAAATGTAAACCAAATTTTTCTCCTGCCCACGGGTGGCATCAGGGACGATTCCATTCATAAATGCAATTGACGTGTTCTCTTTGTCCAAAAAGTAGGTGCTTGCAGCTGAAATATCGTCGTATTTTGGATCGTCTAGCCAATCCTTCGTGAAAAGCTTGGGATTTTCCTGGGTCTGGCGACATTCTGGATCGTTGAAGCAATTGAGATCCTTGGATGGGAAATAGACTGGCTCTACAGTTTTCTGCAAGTGTCTTCTGTCGTAGATCGCGCATTTGGATTGCACGAACGGCTGATACAACCCAGTTCCATTCCCTGAAGGGGAGGTGACGTTGACGCCTCCACCAGCTGTAAGTCGGTAGCGAGGCTCGCGAGATAGGGCGCCAACGTCGGAGTTGCGTATGAATTGTTGAAAGAGACCGATGTTAGTCATAAGAAAGTGTGGCGGGGTGGTGCAAAGGGTGGTTGAGGCAACGCTCGATTTCTCATCAGCCTGAGTAAATACCAAATGACGCCTTATTTCTGATGATGTGGCGTGAAATGTGATGTTGTTGGTTAAGTCCGTCGCCGCGTAGTCCCGCACCCAGCTCAAGATCTCAGGGAAACCGCCAGCTGTGCAGTATCTTCGTTGTACTCCTGCAGGTCCCTTGCATTCGGAAAATCTACCAAATGGGGATTCGAACCATGTTCTGCTACGAATCACCCCATACAGTAGAGGGGGTTCAATCTTGCTAAACGCTAAGCTCGTGTCGAACTCATACCAGCCTAGACTGGGCAGGAGCAGGACGGCAGATGCTGGTCCAACGATAGTCGAGACTATGGTGGCGAAGACTAGGAATGCGGGAAGGAGCATCTCCCAGGGCTTCGAGGTGTTGAGACCTTGGCGTCGGAATGCGGAACTTGCAAGATAGGTGAGATCGCCAACTCGATAACCCCCTGTAAGGAATCCCAATCGAACACCACTTGTGACTAGACGCCTTCGATAAATCGCAAGAGCAATAGCTGACAGCGACGCAACAATGAGAAGTTCGTGTAGTTTAGCTACAAGTTGAAGGATGTTACTGATAACGTCGGTGTCCAATCGATAATCGCCAACTACTGGGCCAATTTCTGGATACCAGTAGAATCTGACTGAGCCGATGAGGAGAATCGCTACCGTCACGACTATTGCGGGGAAATGGACGATCCATCCGTTGAGTAAGCGTGACCAGTTCGTTCGAGTGATGGGCTTAGATGTCTTTGTTGAGTCTTCTATATTAGGCAGCTCGGACGTCAACTTGTGTTTGTCCCTATGGTGAAACGCTTTGAGCCCTGGTTCGTGCTGGTCTCGCGGGTCTGTCCTGACTTTGGCGTAGGCCCAGTCATTCGTTCGTCTGTCGCTCGAGCCCTGGCTTTCTTCATCAATGCTCTTAGATCGACCAGAAAGAAGTGGTCGGTCCCAAGGCGTCTCCTCATCAGTCAGCCTTGAGAAGGCGGAGATCGGCCTGGGTGACATCTCGTATTGGTCGAGCGGAGGAGTGATGATCAGATCAGGAGAGGGTTGAATGTCAGGCAGAAATTCTCGACTCCATGGCCTATGCGATATACTCTGAGGTCGCCGCCGCCGCCTAGAATCATCTTCAGGCGAGTCCATCGCGTGTATGGTATTTAGAATAGACAGAGTCTCTGCAGGCTGGGACGTTGCGAAATGTATTAATACTGTAATCGGCACAAAACCTAAAGAAAAGATGAACAAAAACAGGCAGAATTGGCGTGGTAAGAATGCCGAGGCTGTTGTCATTAATAAGTAGGTACGCAACAAGTCGACAAGTCTTACTTGCAGTGCACTATCTTATGATGCTTATGCGTATGGAGCCGTCGACCTCAGCTGGTACCCCTCCTTCGGACCATGCTAGTCAGAAATGAACGCAATGTGCAGACGCAGCCTGATTCATTCAAGCCTTGATTTAAATATAGCAAAGACAGGTTTCGCAGCCTTATTAAACCACATACTAGTAAGATAAGAATGACCGCTTCTTCGGACAGCTTCTTCGGAACATGTACTGTGCTATCTATCAGATATGTCATGTCATCATGATGAGCTTTTTATCATACCTTATGTCAATATGTAGTTCTTTCTAAGATTGGCGGAAGTTGATATCGGGTCCTTGAAGAATACGAAGTCCATTGGGGAGTCTTCGTTCTTGCAAACTTGCGTCGAGGTCGGAAGAAAATTCGAGGAGACTTGGCACTGACAACAGAAGTGTTTGCAATATGACGCAGTGAGATGTGATCAAGCTGAGAGACAACCTAAGACGCGCCATAGCATTTGTATTGATGCGATCGCCATACGACTGAACTCGGCCAGGCTATTAACTGAAAGTGTCTGCCTGAGAAGAACATCGAGGACATGGCCAATCACACTCGAGTCGCTCAGCCCCAAGACCCTTGACGAAACGATTGCTTTCGTGGGCAGTGCAACTAGAGTAACACAAACATATGGTTTAGAAGGGCAAGCTGACATGATAGCCCCCATTGTGGCTATTTTGTATGCAGTCAGCTTCGCCCATGCACCACCATTAGCTGGCCAGATGACCACTGGACCAGCCAGGCGGAATCTTGATTTTCTGTTGGTCTCTTTGCATTGGACAATACAATGCACTCAAGATCCCGATAAGGCTCGGGGACTCGGGGAGGCGCAGCCTGTGCGGATTAAGAACATGCATACAACATACATGTAGACTCTTTGAAGGAACATCCTCCCGTCATCACCAAATCGGTCGCGCACGACCCAAGGAGGAAATTCGATGAAAATTCAATTGCGCGGCTTCCCAGGAGTGACTTGCTGTTTTACCGCCTACTCCAAGAATCTGGGTCCAGGTAAACCCTTTCATAACACTTTGTGGCTTTTTGATAAGCTGCGCTGTAAGGACGTCTTCGTACCTATCTTTATTTATTCCAGATACCTAATCCTGGGGCAGCCGCATGCGCAGGATGTGGCTTTCACAACCAGTGTAGGGTGCGGGTATCTCATGAGGCTATGGAGTATACATATTGCCCACACCAAGGAGAAGCGAACTTCTATTCAAGATCAAAGTGTAGAGCACTGCTTGTCTTTGCAGACGAAGAAGTCAAACTTTCAAACTTTCGCTTACTGCCGGTCCGAAACTCTCGCATCGACTCGCATGCCGCAGGTAGCTCAGTGTGCCCCGTGCCTTCATCTTCCCCGTGGGAGTTGTTACTTGCGGCGCCCAGCAGATCCCGGTTAGAGTTCATGACTTGCAGGCGCTTCATAAGCCAGATTGGATCAGCATGCCAAGCCTTTTTGCGGCACTTGCTCGCCAGTAACAAGATCTGTATTGGATGGTGGATAATGAAACCCAACGTGGGAAACTAGGATGAGGTTGTTTGGTGCAGCATTGAATGCGAGGCATGCACACCAAGTTGTTTTTTCCAGGTTTCATGAAAATTGGTAAGACGTGTATCGCCATATATCAGGGGCCGTGATGAAAATCCCGCTAAATTTCTCTGCCGTGTCCTGCCAAGCCGCCAAAATCATAAGTACCGGAATGCCGAGGACGTTAGAAGGACGCAAAGGTTTCACAGAGAAAGGGAGAGAATTTCAGGTGGATGCCTCAGAGCATATCTATTCATGCGTCCAAAGACGGGTATATACACTGACGATGCTTTGTTTAACGGGTTGCCTCCAGCCGAAGCTCATCCCCTCGATCAAAGTGCCGAGGGACGATCGTCGAGGCTAACTGATGTACAGTGAATAAGAAACAAAACTGTCCGAACAACCATGCAAGTGCAGGTCATCAGCGGACTATGAAGCATTCTCTCCGAAATGCTCGACTTCCCCTTGATCAACATGACAGGCCTGCCGTCTGTCTTTGCAGTGATGTTTACATTGGAGTCTTTCATACCATGATTTCCACACGACATAGAACCATTTAGTCAACGATGAAGAGGTCGCGGGCGTGGTTGCGGCGCTTTTTGGAGCTGTACAGAGCAGGTCCAGGGATAGGGTAGCTGGTAGCACCGCTGTAGATGTCAAAGAGAACACCCTTGTCGTTGGCGGTGTACAGGCTGGTACCAGCAGTGCCGGAGGGGGTGGCGGAACCGCTGCCGGTGATCTCGAGGTTGATGCACTGGGGGTAGAACTGGGCGCCGTTGGCCTGGCCAGCGCTGTGAAGGGCAATGATCTCGTGGCGGAGAACGTAGTTGCCGGGGGCAATGTCGCTGGGGATGGCGATGTCCCACTTGAGGCCGTTGCTAATGAGCTCGTCGGCGGCCCAGCTGCTGCCGGTCAGACCCTTCTCGGCGATCTTGAAGAACTTGAGGTCGGCCTTGGTGGCGCTGGAGCAGTCTCCGGAGCACTTGGCGAGGTAGTCGATGAGAGGACCCTTGTGAGACTCGGGCCAGGTGTTCCACTTGACGGTGACCGTCTCTCCAGCGGCGACTGTGACGCTGGTCTTTCCGGGAGTCGCGGACTTGTGGCAAATGATGTCGGCTTGGCCGGCAGCGTCGGGGGCAACGAAGCCGAGATCCTGCTGCTGAGCAGCCCAGCCTGGAACATCGGGGGCAGGGTTCTGGTAGGGGGCAGAGGTAGGGTTGTAGTTGTCGATGGTCTTGCCGCCGGCGGTGATGGTCTCAACGTAGCCGTGGGCAGAGACGGCGGTGGCGCCGACCAGAGCAGTGAGGAAAGCCTTGGTGTACATCTTGAATGGTTGTGGGGGTTGTTTGTCAAAAACAAGGGGATGAAGTGGTGAAAGAACGGATGAACAGCTCACAGAGCAAAGAATGAATTGGGTCAAAGAAGGGGTAGGAGCTGGAGAGCAATGCGGGTGAAGTGAAGGACGAAGTGGGAAGCTTGGTTGAGAGAAAAAAGATAGAAGCTGGATTCGAGGCGTTTCTTATACTCATGTGCAACACCTATCTGCTCAGACAAAAGTTCAGATGCTGGGCATCCCACATCGTGGAGCAGTGGCCCGACATCCCGTCAAGGGGGACGAGGGGGTGGACAAACAAGTCCACAGCTCCATGTCACTCAATGAAAGCCCGTGTTCAGCAAGATACCGG